CACGGCACTGACCACGGCAATGACCACGGCAATGACCACGGCAATGACCACGGCACTGACCACGGCACTGACCACGGCACTGACCACGGCACTGACCACGGCACTGACCTGTTGATTGCCTCAGCTTCCTTTCACGTGGGATCTCAGGCTGCAAAAGATCATCCAGTGCAATTCCTCTGGATATATGGATTAGAGGTACTGGACATTTGGAAGAAATATACAGTACGTGAGGAGGCCGTGTATGAGGATATACTCATAAACCTCTTCCTGGACATCTGGATCGCTTGACATTCTCCAGAAATTTTCGTTGCACGAAATTTGAATGCAAGTAAATATCCCTCGTACAAAAAGGGATTTCGACGATATTTTTGGCACTATTTATTCATACATACATAAACCACCCAACATTTTCTCTTTAATGTAAGACCTCTTGTTTTGCACTCGTAGCGCATTCTCACTTTAATCTAAGCTTGATCACTCCTTTTACACGCACAGACTATAGATATAGTCTGTGTGTGTAAAATATCAAGTGCAATGTTGCTCAAAAGCAAAAGCGCCGCAATCCTGCTTTCCACAATGGTTCCTCGAGTCAGGTAATGATGTCAACTTCTTTGTTTGTCATCAAAGCAGTTAGTATTTCTTTTTCAACTGCTGAGAGTCCTTTACTATCTTTCAAGGTACTCAGCATGTTCCAGCATATTTCACACGTTCCTGAAAAACCTGGAGTTGCTTTTTCAGAAGTGGCCATATTCCCCCAACCATAGGGGGAAATATGGTCTCCAGGGACCAACTCGGGAAAGAAGCAATGGCGCCACATTCATGGTTTTTTTTTTCCATATGCCTTGCTGGGATTTAGTAAAGGAGATATCAATCAACACTTTGGAAACATTGTAAAAGTCAAATTCAACCCTGATGGGCCGTGATGACCAGGTTTCATTTTGTTGGACCATATTCCCCCAAATTACCCTATACAGTATATATTCCTATATATGATATGTTATTGACTTGCTAGGATCAATTATTATAATATTACATCTATTTATTTATTCATTAAGAAATATGGTAGATTCATGCTGTGATTAAGACTGCTTCACAGAGAGATTTCCTCCTGTGTGTTTGGCGACGTGATAGCTTCAAAATCCCTGAATTTTTTCTCTGCCAACTGACCACGCGGTATTGGCATCTGCTCCTCCGTTGTTTCTCATCACTTCATTCCTCACACACTTCCGGAAATCGTAGAAAGACTCGGGACGCAAATCTAATATTCTCGGAAGGAGTTTTTGGACTCCTGATTTGATTCCTGCTTGGGTTCTTGGAGCGGAATCTCCGCGAGGGAGGGAAAGAGGAGCGCAAATCCGGACGAGGAGAGGATCTGCGATTTCCCCGAAGACTTTCAAGGAGTAATCTCGCGAGTTTTCATCTTCGTAATTGAAGGAAGGCCACGTCTCCCAGGTCTTCCATCAGATTTAACATCGCATCATATCTATACAGGGTGGGCCAAAGAAAAAAAAAGCTATCATTTTTGGTAAGTTGTCAATCTGATTGTGGGGTGCCAATTTTTTAAATGAAATTTGGTGGACTCATAGGGTGACTCAATTAGGGTTTGTGTGCAAAGTTTCAAATACAAATTCCAAAAACTGTGAGATTGGCATTTAATTTGCATTTCATCACCAAAAAAGTGTTCATTTTTTCTTTCAGCTTAAAATATTTCAAAGCTGACAAAAACGAATAGGCAAACAAGCAGAACAAAAACAAATGCACAAATACCAAACATAAAACTCCACAATTTGGTTTAGGGCCATTCATTTCAACTGAAAAGGTGCTCAAAGTGCCCTTCATTCTGTTGAACACTGGGACACCACAGATGAATGGCTTGGTCAATAAACGTTCGAGGCAGTGCCTCCCAATCTTCCTTTGTAGCATCATGCGGGAATGGAAATTCATGAATTCGGGCGTCCCTTTCACCCCAGCCTCAAGTTCATATCGATATTTTCGACAGCACATTTTGTCTTTGGTCAGCAGAAAATAATTACAGCTCTTATCACTTTTGAGTCAGAAGGCTGAAATTTGGTATACAAATTCCAATTGTGGCATCCTATAAGTCCACCAATTTTAGTTAAAATCGGCAGCCTTCAAAGAGATTGACGACTCACCAAAAATGACAGCTTTGCTTTTTGGCCCACCCTGTATATATGAAATATAGAAATGTAAGCCTAGTCCTGCCCAGGGGCATGTGGATCGATACCGGAATGGCGAATATAGTTGTTGAGCTGCGGTAAACTAGGGAGAACTAGGAGAACCAGGGGGAACTAAGAGAAACTAGGGAGGAATAAGGAGAAATATGTATTTAAAAAAAAAATAGAGAGAAATAAGGAAAACTTTGAAGCACTAGAGAGATTCGCGAGGGAGGAGGAAGAGGAGCAGGCTGATGGAGAGATTCCATGAAATATGAATTCCACTCTCCATTAAGGCGCTGGATGTTTGTGGAAGGTCTCCATCGATCCGAATCTGAATGCCGCCTGCCATTCCTGTTGCCATTCCTGTTTAGGATCTGGTGGCGCAGGGAGATCATCGTCTGGGTTTTCTCGGTTTGGCTCGTGTAGGAATGACGTAATTTATTCATTTTTAATAATTGTAATATTTTTTAAATAACATTTTGTAATTAATTATTTATTTTTTTGCCCACTCGAGTCTCAGAGCCGTAGAAGCGGGCTTTTCCTCTCGAAACACCTCGAAGCACAGCTGATGAATCAACAGACTCTGACGAGTCTGTCTGGACCCAGCCAGACGCCGATCAGCTGCCGCCACGAGCCAACGACGCAGATAGGGGTTGTCAGATTTGAATGCAAACGAGGTTTTCCTCTTCATCAACAGAATCGCCTACGCCAAAGCGGGTAAAAATAGTCTCACTTCGATCGAAGTCGCAGCCTTGAAATTGATTGAAGTTCATTTGAATACATTTTTTGGAGCCATCTTAAGTTCATGTATATTCGGTATATATTATATTATTTGCATTTTCCTTTTTTTTTTAAACACGAGCCTCAGCATCGCATCTCATAGCTATCTGCTATCAGATAATTTCAAGAAAATTTGCAATTTCATTGGTTGCGGCGGAGGAGTGAACGGCCGCTTTTCGATCCCGAGCCTGTGCAGTTCTGCACAAGAATTAATGAAGGAGAAAATGTCGGCTGAATGGAATTTGAAAGGATGAAACTCATCTGTGACCTCTTTCTAGAGAGGGGAGGGGAAGGGGGGGAAAGGGGGAAAAGGGGCAACTGGGGCAGTTGGGGAAAGCTGCAGTCCTCTCTAGCAATGCGAACCGGTACGAGGCCATCCAGATTGCAAAAAGATTTTCATTTACCGATCGCAATTGCCTTTTCCCCCTCGTACATTCTCGTTAACGTCTTCGACGCCCTCGATGCGACCGACATCCTAATGCGCATCTAGGGAGGGAAAAGTATCTGTTCCACCCGACTCGGCGGAATCCAGCTGGGATTGATCGAGGCCTCCACCTTCACGAGAATACGTAAATGGATCTCCCTGCCGATCCTCGTCTCCATGGCAACCGGCTCTTTGTGCCCGTTTCCAAACTTTTCTGAATTCATCCCTCAACTTCGGTTCCGTTCTTCCCTCCACATATTCGAATTAGTCCGTACGAGAAACGTGCCGGCTCAGGGAACGTGCCGGCTCAGGGAACGTGCCGGCATGGATTGGTCAAGGTTGCTCATGTTGCCTTGTCGGCATTGTTGCCGTGAAAGTTACGGTGAAAATTTACAGCAGACGTTTTATTTTTTTTCCATACCAGATTTGAACAGAATATGCTTAAGCAATCACATATTTTCTGCAACGGTCGCAGCCGTTTCGTTGGGCAGTTTCGATTCACACAAAGAAACGAGAAAATCCGGTTGCAACAACTTGATATTAGAAACTCGTCAAATCCGTCGCACTTCCAAGTTTCGACGGTCCTCGAGGCCGGTTTCGACGGTCCTCGAGGCCGGTTCCGACGGTCCTCGAGGCCGGTTCCGACGGTCCTCGAGGCCGGTTTCGACGGTCCTCGAGGCCGGTTTCGAAGTTCTCGAGGAGAGATGGCGTTATTTCCGCCGATGAAAGGTTGGCGTGCAGATTCGTTCGACAGCCTCTTGGAAATCGAGCAGAGATGTGAAGTGACCCGAAAGGCATGAAAGCTTATTGCCATGGCAACATAGGCATAAACAAATTGGGTTAAGCTGAGTGCTAGGCTGGTGCAGGGTTGCCAGATTTATGGGAATGGAAGGTCACAGAAGTCGCAGAACTTAAAGAATAAATTAAATAAATTAATTATGAATAAGTAAAAACTAGGAAAGTCCGCTGGGAAACAAAAAAAAAACGAGTCTGTAAATTAAATCTCAATATTCGCAATTCATTTCCCAGCTTCAGGTGAGAGAAAGAGTCTTCACTCGTAGGACCGATCAAAGCTGGACGAGGCGAGTGCGAATGTCGTACTGGAGTCGTTGAATGTCGTTGAATCGGGTGGCCTGTGAAATGCAATCTCAGGCCAGGCCTAATTCCCTTTCGAAATGAATTTTCTTCCTCTTCGGGGATCAGGCCGTGATTTCAGTGCTTTCAGAGCCAAGGCATTCTTGACCCTAAATCTACTCTATATATAGAGTTAAGTGCTAGACGATATGCTCTGCGATCGATATCGACGACAGCTGTGTCTTGATGAACAGTCGAGTCGGTCGAGAGCACGACGAAGAGAGCGGAGGAGAAGCGAGACGGCGAGGACGAGGTGAATCCGTTCGCCATCTTGAAGAAAGCAGGGGACGTGGACATCCTCGATCCCTCCTGGGCGTACATCCAGACCGCGGAGAAGTGAGTGGTCGCCGGTCGGCCGCGGTCGAATATGCCCCCGTGACGTCATCCGTCGTCTCTCGCTTGCAGGGTGGAGAGCGAGCAGAAGGCGCGGGAGTTCCTGAGGAGCGTGGAGAAGGTGCTGGGCTTGGACCTGCGGAGCCTCACGAACGCAAGGTCAGTTTCTTTTCTGTGTTTTCGAGGGCTCGCCGAGGCGTGAAGGATCCGGTCCCCTTCGTTTCCTGATGCGATTCGACGGGGGCAAAGAGTCTGATTAACGGGGGCAAAGAATCTGCTTAAAGGGGGCAAAGAGTCTCACATCGCTCTCGCATATCGGCCTATGTTCGGCGCATTAACCATAATCTCTCTCGTTCGAGGGCTTCTCATCGCTCGGATTCCTAAATATTAATTGGATCCTTTTGGAATCGTCGCCTCGCTCGATCGCGACGAAATTCGCCGTAGAAATCGAGTTATTTCGCCTCTGACGTGGAGCGTTTCTGGATTTTTCCACGAAGCAAAAATATTTTTTGGCTTCTCCGGACGTCTACGATGTAATTCAAGGTGAAATCTCTCTCGACGAAAAGTTTTTCAGCGGAGAAACTGGGTTCCATTGCATTTCGTGGCCTCTCTCTCCCGGAGTGCTTTCTCATAAATTACGTAATTTAATTATGGGACTGGAGAGAGTCGGTACCTTCCACGTCAGGCCTTTCGTCGAGGTGCAATCTTCTCGGAATCATCTCTATTTCCTTTTTTCCTTTTTTCCTTTTTGCGTCACACTTTCCTCGTCAGAAGTCGAACGTAAATTTTTTTTTTTTTTTTAGAACGTTCCGATTTTCAGGCTCTCGCGCGATATTTGCCTGACAATATAAATGAAATTCCACGCCACCCCGTCGCTTTCCTCGAATCAATTTTCTTTTGAGCCGACAGTTTAGTTTGAAAGAAAACGATCTGGTGTAATCGGTGGGCTTAACCCGAAAAATTCAAGATTTTTTTTTTTCAACTGAAGAAATTAAATTTTTTCCCCGAATAAGGAAAAATAATGGAAGCGAAACGTTTTCGGTTCGTAAACAAGTTCTATCAGGCTTTCTTCTGATAGGAAAATGCAATCTTCCGAAAGGGAGGCTTCTGAAAGGCTGTTGCAATCAGCGTGTTGCGCCGGATCTGATAACCGGCGGAAGTGAATGGGGCCGGGAGAGAGGGGGAAGGAGGTCTATGGGGCCGGGAGAGAGGGGGAAGGAAGTGTATTGAGGCGGGATTGAAAGAGAAACCCCCAGGAAGCCCGGGAGGTTTTCGTCTGACGGATGATCCCCGAGGGAGATAGGGAATTCCCGTCAGCCGCTGAAGAGGGGATCCGCCGTGTTTTTTGGCGTGGCATCGAAATCCTTTTTCATTTGTCTTCCCGTTCCATTACGTCCATCATCGTTCCGTTTTTTGTCTCTCGCTCTTCGATGAGAGGGAAAATGGAATTTAAGTGCCGTGGATGGAAGCCGTGGATGGAAGTCGTGGATGGAAGTCATCTGTCGCGTCTCCTTTGGGAGAATGGTCCAATCGCAAATCTTCGGCGAAATCGAGGGCTTGCGATTGGCTCTCGATTCGAGGTTCGGCACCGAAGAGCCAATGAGAATCGTTTCCTGATTCGATTCTGGCCAGATCTGAACCTTTTCGGAATCTATTCGAAATTCGATCGAGAGCGCACGAATCTTTCTCGACTCGCTTTTTTTTTCCCACTTCACTGTTGGCCGAGGAAATTTACGGGGAAAAAAATGGGGCTTTGTGATATTGGAGAGGATTTCTTCTTGAATGAAAAGGGGCCTGGTTCGACTTAGAGATTTGAAATATTCAATGCCGATTCGTTTCCCAAACGATTCCATCCGGATTCGCGTTTCGGTCCTCGCATATCCCCCGAGATTCGAGACCCGATTCCGATTCGCAAGTCGCGAAAGATGCGAGGATGGATGAGGATGGATGAGGATGGACGAGGATGGATGAGGATGAGGATGGTGTGTGTGCAGGTTGAAGGAGGACGTGATCACCTTCCGCGTGAACCCGGGGATCGCGGATGCGAAGGATGTCGTCAGCGTCGCATGTGAGTCCTCCTATCCCCTCCCTTCACACGAGAGAAAGAGGAAAGTTAATTACGAGCGGCAGGACGATGCAGCTCCCCATCATGATATCACTCTCTTCTCTCTCTCGACTTTGCTTTCATTATCTCTCCCCTTTCTCCTCCTTCCCCCCCCCCCTCCTTTTTCTCTCAATTTCTCGTTCCCTGCAGCTCCCTCCCCCCACTCAGCCCTGTTTCCGGGTTCTCTCGAGCGTGACGCTTCCACCTTTCATGCGCGATCCGAAAGGAAGACGTTTTACTTATTCACTCATTAATTTAATATTTTCGGTTAGCTCTCGTCCCGTGCAAAGTGGCGTCGTCTGGCGTCATTGACAAGTCGCGATGGAATTAGTGTCGCCGGTAATGGATAATCTCCGTCGGGGCCTTTGGCGATGCCGTTGGTGCTTCTAAGCTCGGAATGTGATTTGGCTTAAGGTTTGGATTTGGCTTTAGGTTTGGGTTTGGCTTAAGGTTTGGATTTGGCTTTAGGTTTGGGTTTGGCTTAAGGTTTGGATTTGGCTTTAGGTTTGGGTTTGGCTTAAGGTTTGGATTTGGCTTTAGGTTTGGATTTCTCTCTAAATCTTGCGCGAGTGTCTTGTTCTTTATATTGTCTTTTTCCTCCTTACACAATTTTTTTGGGTGCAAAAATTTGATCTCGATTGATCGGGCGACACACCTAGGCGTTTTTGACAGTTTTAGATTAGATTAATTTTCTGACATTGATTTTGTAGAACCCGGAAAGAAGTCTCTTGCGAGAAACATGCCTATTCCTGCATTAAACAGCAGGTTACAGCCAGTGGCGCAGCCAGGTTTTCGTCAATGGGGGGGCTAAGCGGAACGTTGGGGGGGTTTACTTCTCGTTGGGGTGGGGGGGGGGGGGCTGAAGTCCCCCCAACCCCCCCCCCCCCTCGCTACGCCACTGGTTATAGAAGACGGTCCTCTGTGCCAGGAAAGAGACTGAATAAGGCAAAACGGCCGGGTTCGTGCATATTGACTGCATTTATGCAATTTTCATTCATGAAGGAAGCACAATGATCTCAAGTCCCCGGCATCGGCAATGTCGTCCTATAATTGCCCTAAAATCAGAAATGCACGCTCTTTTCCTTTCTTGCAGGGGACAACAAGGACAAGATCAAAGAGGCATCTGGAATTGAAATCGCGAAGACGGGATTCGGGAAAAAGGTTGGTATAATAAAATGCTTTTTTTTTCCCCCCCCCCCCTTGCATTTTCCCCCTTGCATTCCCTCCCTGCAAATAAGCTTAGAAGGAAAGTGCGTAGGGGACGGCTGATTAGTTTCTCATATCTCCCTTCTGAGAACCCCGAGTAATAACGGAAAATTGGAATTTTTCCGGTTCGCGGGATATATGCATTCCATGCGAAGAACAAAAAAATCTCGTTTCCGTAGTCTATTTGTTCCATCCAGAAGATGGAAAATAAACAATATGTGCAATTCTTCCCCTATCGGAATCGGCATGCTCATATGATGAAGATTCGTAATGAATTACCTTGCCAGGCAATTTTGCGAATCAGCAAAAAAAAATTTTTTCTGCGAAACTGGAATTTTCCATTCCTCGAAGGACTCTTATTAGAGCTTATTTTAGTCTTCCTATTCTATTTCGCTCTTAGCTTCTCTTTCCGCGTTTCCAACCGCGAAGAAAATGGTCGTTTCGATCGTGCCATCGTCGTGTGCCGATTTGGTGCTCGGCCGGATGGGAATCCTGCGATTCCTTGAGGAAATTGCGGAATTATGAGTCATTCCTTGTTTTTGAGGAGATTCTACAGCACTGTCACCTGATGACGTGCGTATTGAGCAGGGTTGCCCGATCCTCTTCACCTGCCGCTCCTCCGCCCCACGATGCTTATTCTTCCGCCCCGCCCTTCGTGATTCCGGGCCGCTTGCGCCGACATGCATGGATTGAATATGAGAGAAACCGTTCGGATGAGATCGAGGGTGGGAGATGAGTCGAATGCGCCGGAAGAGGGAGCGGGATCGAGATTTGACATCCCTGGTGGGGGAGGGAGGGAATAAGGCTGGTGCCCGGGCAGGTTTCCGGCTCAGTCAGTGCTCCGGCTCAGTCAGTGCTTCGCCTCTGAGACGCTTCGCGGCCCTCTCGCTCCTCGCAACTCTTGCATTTGGTCTCATTTGTATTTCGTCTTCGTGAGTTTTTCTCATTTTTTTCGACCGACTCTCGAATTTTTTTCGCTCGTGACGCGTTGAGTTTTCGCTTGAGATGCGGTCTACTAGCTTGAATTTGTGGAGCGCCGGGCCGGTCTACCACGCAGGCTACTTATGTTGGAAGAAACAATAATTTTACTATTTAAAAAATCATTTCCTATCCGAATATACGCATCCTCACCGACGAAATTGCAGACTTGGGGATCGGTAGGACTAAATTAAGCTGCAGCCTGAGTTTTTCCGTGCCACAAAATTCCGATGAAAATCCCCATACAATCCTATCGTCTTTCTCTTTCATTTCATCCGAGATGAAATTTCAAGGCGTGCAGAGAGTTGAAAAGAAGAAAGGATCTCCTTATCAGGAGCCATGCCAGCCTTTTCACGATGTGATTTCCTGACTTTCCTCCCCACTTTTCTCAATGGGAAAATGAAGTAGCGATGCCCCATCCGGGGGCTGGCCATTCCGCGGATCAATGGCCGCATGAAAGATTAACGCTGGGGGAGTTGTCGTAAGCGTCCTTGCAATATTTCAGAAGCCTCGACCTTTCATCTCTGCGCTGGTCATCGTGCTATATCGTGCTTTTTTTTTTGCATGCTGCGTAAGTGTTTAAATTATGTGCACAGCATGTAAGATTAAATGCTCTTCGAGATGGAAATCGAACATCGAAGCATGAAGCGATCGACCCCGTCCGGATTCCTCAGCTATGGAGTGTGCAGGCGGTGCAACTGCACCGGGGCCCACTGCGGCCCCGGTGCCTGGTGCCTGGGCCCACTGAGGGGCCCAGGCACCAAGCAACGAAGATGGGGAAAGCAAGGGGGGCGAGGGGAGCAAGGGGGGCGAGGGGGGGGTTGTTAGCTGCTTGGCTGGGAGCCCTTTGGCATGGGGACGAGGTGAGTGCTGGGAACTGAAAAGAAAGGTCAAATGGAATCGAAGGAATTCTTGAAGACACTGCACATCTCTGGGAACTGGGACGACGCTTCTTGGGGCTAAATGGAAGTGGTAGCCCTTTTCAATGCCATTCACCCTTTCACACTGGCTTCAGCTACCGACGACGAATTATATGCTGCAGGAGAAAATCTGGCAAAAAAAATCTGATTCGACATAATTCATTATTAAGAAATTGGACAGATGGCCCCGTTCCATTCCTTGCGCCAGGGCCCATACAAACCATGCTACGCCACTGGCTCAGAGAAAAGTTTTTCTTTCGCGCCTCGTGCGGAGAGGATGCGATTGCGGTTCTTTCGTTCGGTAGAGACCCGATGGATCGCGTTTTCGAGCTTTAGACAAATCGTAACGTAACGTAACGTGTGTCACCAGGGAGAGGGACCGTACGTGGAGTTTCTGAAGGAGAAGGATGACTTCGTGCTGCTCACGGTGTCGCTGTGCGGGGCGCTGGGGGCGATCATCCTCACGGCCGCGGCCGTCTTCGTCGTCCGGCGGCACATCAAGAGCAAGGAGAAGCTGCGCAACCTGGCCGAGGTGGACACGGAAGCGTCCAAGGACTATCAGGTATCCCGAGTTTCTTGACGAGTTTTGGGGCGTTGAGAGAGAGGGGGGAAACGAGGCCGCTGGAGCCGGTTGGAGCAACCAGGGTCTCGTACCGGAGGAAGTACGGCGCCGGAAAGGAATTAAAAAAAATGATGCACTGGGTTTGCGAAGGACCTGTGCCGTGCCCGGATGGCGGGGAAGGCGCAGGAGAAGCCCCTCATCCCAAACACGAAAGGAAGTTCGAAAGGCGACGGGGATCCGACTCAGAGCCCTCATTCCTCCAGGTCTTCCACCTCCTCTTGGTAAGCGAATCGATCCGCCGGGATCTCGAGAGAGCGTGGTAATCCGCGGATTAACGGGTCCGTCGGTTTGCAGGAGCGAGGAGCCGGTTTCTTCGAACCTCGACATCTCGACCGGGCACATGGTCCTGGTGCGTGGGATTCCATTTTTTTCTGAGCGATTTAAAATATCTGGTAATACAGTAATTTGGTAATTTAATGTCATTTAGGCATACATGGAAGATCACTTGAAGAACAAGGACCGGCTGGAGCAGGAATGGCTTGCCCTCTGCGCCTACGAAGCCGAACCTTCCACGACCAACATCGCCCATCTGGTACGCCCATTTTTTTTAAATACATTTTTTTTTACCAGAAAAAATACGAGGCAAAAAAAAAGAGGAAATATTTTTGAAAATCTGAAATAAATTTTCAGCCGGAAAACGAAAAGAAGAACCGTCGTGCGGAAGCCGTGCCGTATGACCATTCCCGCGTGGTCCTCAACGACCTGACCAACATCTCCGGGTCCGATTACATCAATGCTTCCTCCATCGTGAGTCCATTAAAAATCCGACGTCGGGTCCGTTTCGGGCCTGGCCGCCGGCGAAACTAGATTTAAAATTCGCTTTCTTTTGTGCGCTTTTTCCTCGATCGTTTTTGGGAGGGGAAAAGGGGGAAAGGGGGAAAGGGGGAAAGGGGGGGAAGAGGCTCATTGTTTTCCGGGAAATTCATTTTCCTTGGAGAACGGTTAAACTGGAAAAGGATTCATTTGATTGGCCCCGAACGGGAATAGAACCCGGATTCAAAAGTGCAATATATCATCGGGTTCCGGGAATTCGAGGCACGAATCCAGATTGATAATCAATTCTCTGCAAATCCCAGCCACACGAGGAATTTTTTTTTTCTCGATGGATCGGGAGCGAAGCGAAATAGTCCTTCAAGGACTATTTAGAAGGAAATAGTCCTTCAGGGACATTTGTCATTTCGCCGATCGGCGAAGGGCAAACGATATCGCTGGGCCGGCTGACGATAAGGTCGGTGGGATCGTTGCGCCGGCTGCCTGGCCTCCGTGCCTCGAATCCCAACGAGGGAAGATAATGGGAGGCAGAGAGGATAATGGGAGGCAATCAGGGAATCGTTACGTGACGGATGAATGGAAAGCCACGAAAATTCGCATTTCTAAAGAAATTTTCAGGCCTTTTATTTTTTTTAATCTGAAGCATTTGTTGGGCATCAAGTTGCAAGGAGAAATTTTAGCAACTTGATGCACGAAGTTCCCGAACCTTCCCCGCTCATCCAGCATCCGGTGAATCCGGGATTTTTCTGGATGCCACTCGAATCAGCCATTCGATTGCGGTCTCTTTTCTTTTGAGCCGCAAAAGCGGCTCTTCGCTTTCCATGGCCGAGTAAAAGTTTGTATGATGAAAAAACGAGCCTAAACCTGTTTAAACTGGTTTATTGTGGGTTTATTACCTATCGACGAGGTTGAAAGACTTCTCAGGCCGTGAGGCGATTTTCTCCAGCCGCGAGGCGATCAGCCCGAAAATCACAAAAAATAGGAAATTGCGGTGAAAAAGTGAACGAGTTTCACTTTTGAAACTGCAGGCGAGTGGGAGGAAAGGGGGGGAGCACGGAGGCTGGGACTAGGCACGGAGGCTGATGGCTTTATTCCGCGAGCTCACTTTGCCCTCACCTATAATCCGATTGCGATCGTTACCGCGATGCAACGGCATCGCCTAATGGCATCAGCACTTGACGGCCGTTGAAGAATGCATGGCCATGCATGGATGCATGCATCCCGGGAGAAAAGGGGGGAGGAAAAACAATTTTCTCCACGATGCACGTACGAGCGAAAAGAAAAAGGAAAAAAAAAAAAAAAGAAAGAAACGGCTGGGAAGCCGGTTAGAGGCAAACCGTGTCGGGGATCGGAAGCCCGGCTGAATAAATCATCTCCCGGCAGAGGCTGGATCTCGACAGAGAGAGGACAGTTCATATACTATTCTAAGCCATTAGCGGAGAATGGAAGCTATGTAAAGAAGAATCCGGCCTCCTCTTCCTCCTCCGTCCATGCATATTGCATGCACGCAGTTCCCCCTCTCCCCCTTGCGGCCTCCCATGTCAAAAAAAACCATCTCTTTCCCGAAAATCCTCCAAGCGGATTCGAGCGTAAATTTTTTTTTTTTTTCTTACTATTTAAACTTAAAATTTTCCCTCCAATTTTTGCCGACCTCGACCGAACGCACCTCACATCGACACCCCCTGTACTCATCCCCCAGACCGACCACGACCCCCGGAACCCGGCGTACATCGCGACCCAGGGCCCCCTGCCCGTCACGGCCGCCGACTTCTGGCAGATGGTCTGGGAGCAAGGCAGCGTCGTCATCGTCATGCTCACCCGTCTCACCGAGAACGCCCTCCCCCTGTGTCATCGCTACTGGCCCGAAGAGGGCTCCGAGGTCTATCACATCTACGAGGTAATTCTCGGCTCGTGGCGCGTTTCTCCTCTCTTCGTGCTTTCGGATCGACCGACCCCGTTCCCGGCGTTCGATGGCACTCCGGCGACGCCTCGCGACTGCAGCGACATCTATCGCAAAACCGAAGCACTTCCATTCGACGAACTCGTGGAGCCCATAGAAAACCACGAAGACCGGGTCGAAGTCGCTCCGAAAGCACGTAGAGACGCGTCGAGGCGTGGAGTCTCCCTTGCACGACGACGTCGTCCCCTTTAGGTGCATCTGGTGTCGGAGCACATCTGGTGCGAGGACTACCTGGTTCGGAGCTTCTATCTGAAGAACCTGAAGACCGGGGAGACGAGGACCGTGACTCAGTTCCATTTTCTCTCCTGGCCCCAAGATGGTGTTCCCTCGTCTGCTCGCGCTCTGCTCGAATTCCGAAGGTACTTATTTTATTTTTATTTTTATTTTCATGAAGAAGTCGCTTTGGAAACGGTTGAAAGATGTTGGAGATTGCATCCGAGGACGTAACGATACAAAAATCCAGTCTGTGTCCTCCCAGCACGAATGTTTTCACCCCTCGACGAGTTAATATCGGTGTTTGGGAATGCCTCGCGCGTGCATGGGTGTCGTGCGTATCGGACCAGGACGACCCCGAACGACCTCGGACGACCTGGGCGAGAGCCCGCGGGGAGGGGGCAAAGAGGTCCACTCGGCCCTCACAGTGCCAGTCGGAGCCGGTGAGCCGTCTCGGACCCTCCCCCCCCCCCCCCCCCCCCCCCCCCCCCCCGCCCCCCCCCCCCCCCTGTGCCAGGCGGGGCCGGTGAGCCGTCTCGGCCCCCCCCCCCCCCCCCCCCCCCCCCCTCATCCGGGCTCTCACGCCCGTCAGGTAGGTGCCGATCACGTCGGTCGCGGTGCGTGGGGAGGTTGGCGTGCTGGCCCGAGGGGAGTCGCTGCCTTCGCCTCTTTTTTTTATTTATTTAATAGCACGCTTTGGAATCGCTGGACTCGGCCTCGATGATGATGCTACTAATCCGTGGGCTGACTCGACTGTAGATTAGACTCGACTGTAGATTAGACTAGATTAGACTACGGTAGAGCTTCACGGCTTCTCTCATTTTTCCGTGCCCTTCACGTCTCGAGCAGGATGAGTGGAGGACCGATGACGTAATAATGGCATTAAAAGTTGTGGTTTAATCATGTTCCCCGCCGATCCGGAAGAGTGTACAAGTTCGTCGCTCCCCTCTCATTTTTGTGATTTTTGCAATTGTTCCTGGGTTCTGCAATTGCATAGTCACAAGAATGATGGGAGGGCGACGAAATTCCGTCTCCCTTCGAAAAAATACGAGTACGTTTTTTTTTTTTTTTGATACTTCATCGTGTAAACCCCCTTTTTTTTTCTCTCCCTTTCACGTCATTTTCGATGTTTTTTCCCATGTTTTCCGTCATTTGGATGTTCCTCCGGATATATGATATTGGATGTCCTCCTCCGCATCCTTGAGACGTGAACCCCGAAACCCCCCCCCTCCCCCCCGCATGCAGCAGCAGCATGAGCACGCTTCCCCGTTCACGCCGCTCTCTCCCTTCGACGAAGGGACGTGATCCGAGGATGCCTCCCGGGGATCGCGGAGGTGGAAGACAATCAAAGGGAGGAGGATGAGGCTTATCATCCCTCTCCGGGAGGGGGGCAAAGGGGGGCAAAGGGGGGCAAAGAGGAGAATAAGAGGAAAATAATATAATGTATCTCTGTAATTTGCCGGGTTGCTATGGGATATGTGCCTCTCGTTTTCGGATCATCTTCTTTCGCTTCTCTTCGATGGGTCTTCCTCGTTAAATTAATGGCTTGCTTCCCTCTCTTTGACGCAAAATTACCGGCTGTGTCGTCATGACAACCTTTGGGATCTTCGAAAACAAGGGGGGAGATATCTCCATCGCGGTTCATCCTGTTGCGCCGGATGCGACTTCGAGGGTTCTTGGCGTTGCAAAGTCGTAGATTAATTGGGCTGCCTGGTAAGGATTATTTTGGACGAAAAACACAACACTCGAGAAATGTTTATTTTTGAATGGTGTGGTGGTTTCCCTAGTTTTTTTTTTGTCATTCGTATCCTTTTTAGATGTAAATTTTCCTCTGGGAGTCGTTGGGTATCCCTGTCATATGCCACGGACTGTTTCTGTCTCCATGTTTTTCGTTTCTCGATGGACTCTACCGGTTTCTTGCCGAGTGGATTTTTCGAGTGGATAGGAGCGAAAAGCGGGGTTCAGCTGCAGCTGACGTGTCAGATTCAGCTTTCCGTTCGATTGTGTGTGGTGCGAGATGCTGTTTGCCCTGTCGTTTTTTTTTCTCCCTTTAGGAAGGTGAATAAGTCGTACAGAGGTCGGTCTTGCCCCATCGTCATCCACTGCAGGTCAGCCTCGAATTTTTTTTTCCGGTTTAAAATTATGTGAATAATATTTTAAATATTTTAATATTTAATATTGAACTTAATATTTTTTTTGTCGGTGCCAAATGGTTTCCTTTTGAGATTAGCAAGACTCCGGTTTTGCGCTTAACTTATACTGTAATGCTGCTCAGAAGCGGGTCTATCACGGTGAAGATGGTTCATCCTCTGCCGAGCTAAAGTTTTGCTAGAAATGAAGTCAAGGATGAAATAATTTTGCTAAAGTTTTACCAAACCTTTTTCCCTGCCTGATAGACAAACAACCGTAAAAAAAAAGAGGAAAAAAGTTGACGAACCAGTTGCCAGGGGTATCAGGTCGCCTCACCCGAAACTATTTCGCCCCCAGCGACGGCGCTGGTCGAACGGGGACGTACTGCCTCATCGACATGGTCCTGAACCGGATGGGGAAGGGCGCCAAGGAGATCGACATCGCCGCCACCCTCGAGCACATCCGCGACCAGCGCCCCGGGATGGTGGCGACCCGGGCCCAGTTCGAGTTCGTTCTGGTCGCCGTCGCCGAGGAGGTTCATGCCATCCTCAAGGCCCTCCCGCAGTAGGGGGGGCCTTGAGGAGGGCCCCTTTGAGGAGATGCTCGATATTTTTGTCTTTTCTCCGTCTCCTTCGATCTCATTTAGTCGATGTGCCACGAGGGCGGTGAAAAAAAAAAAGAGCTTGAGTTCTCGGTGTCTTGGTCGATGTTCATCTCGCTTCCTCTCCTCCTGCATGCTCGCTTCTCTTCCCGTGCACAACCTTCTATACTTCTAGTACAGAAATTCATGCAGCTATTTCCATCTGCACGAAAGTCGGGCGAGGTCCAGTCTGTATTTTACCTACCCAGGTGCTGTTCAGAAAGAGTCTTATCGAAATGGAAATAATTTTCTTTCTTCGGAAGAGTTATCTCTATATAAATATTTGAATCGATTCTTGGAATTGAACATATTTAAATTATTCTTCGGAGCCCAACGGCTCTTATGTTTTCTTTGTGGGACAGATGTTCTATTTAAGAGTTGAAATGCGTATTTATCTCTTCCAATTCGACTCGCCTGGGTCCAGGGGTGAAGATCTTTTGTGCTATGAATCGAAAAATGATTTTTCCTTCCATGTCTTTGCGTAAAATCCTCAGCGGAACCGCGTCATCGGCACGGAGTAATAGGCCAGCAGTTTGGTGCCAGATGACGAATTCGAAGACATGTATGATAAGGACAGCGAAAATAAAGACATATATATGAGGTTGTGCATCTGCATGAGTTCATGTACTTTATTCTCTGAGTGGAATAAGTGTATTTGGTTCACGAGAGATGGCAAGAGGTGCACTCGACACAATCGGACATCACTTCATCCATTTGGTGGGGAAATAATCCATTCTCGGGTGCCTCATGGATATATTCCCCCCGGCCTGAATAAGCATAGGAAACGCGCCTGAGCATGATAGGATTCATGAAATGCAACCGTATTCAAACCAATAAAATGAACTTTCTCGTTGTCCAATGCCATCTGAAGCGAATAGAATGCTAATTATTTTATAATTACCCAGAATTACCCTTACTTTACTTGGGGTTGGAGGATTACATCTATGTGACACCCGGCATTTATTTTCCCTGTCAATCATGAGAGTCAGACGAAAAGGAATTGCATAACACTCCCTCAGGAAAACGACAAACACATGAGCATGTTGAAAGCCCTGCCAAACATTTCACTAGAGTTACAAGCTGGCAACACAACTCTGTTCTCATGTGACAATGTAAAGATCTCACAGCACGGTTCAACACCTACTTCGATGCCATAAACCTCATTCGCAAGCACATAGGGACTAGATAGGATGAGGCGACCGTCCTCGGTCTTTACTCGACGTGCAACGAAATCAATGCGGTCTGTAATATTCCTCCAATTGCAACAATTTCCATTTAGCAGCTCACAACAGCACAACCATGCAGAGTTGTATGCATACAATTGGGCCTCTTTTCATTTTCCATGCAAAATAATAAAATGACTGTCAGAGTCAAAATGTACCAGCCAGTAATTCTTAATGCCCTCGATTTTTGAAGTTGTCAGAAAAAAAAGAAAATATAATGAAACCCTCCAAAAATGACTTTTTTTTTGTCCCCATAAAAATACAGAGTACAATTCCTCCAGAGACACTTTCAAAATTGTTTCACTTCACTCTGGAACTAAAGAAAGAGGACTTCATACAGTCTCTCAAAATACTGAAAATTCGTAAGTAATGGGAGGTCTGCACGAGAAATGAAAGAGTCAAGGCCATCAAGGCCCTCACTCGGCACTTTAAAATGGAGAGCTTGTCACGATAATGCATACATCACAAAAGATGGAGATCAGCAGGAGAATCGACAAAAGCAAAACTAAAATGAAGGAAATCTCAGCCATGCATCCAATGTTGCATCAGATATCTAGTTTCAAAGTGAGACCAAGCACAAGAGGTTCCATGAAGACATCTTGTTATTAAATAGTTTAAAATAAACCTTGAGCTTAACTCAGATTTAGTAACGATAATTGTAAAGGATACCTTACATAATTCCTAGATTAACTGCATATGCAAATAAAAGACCTTACGGCTGCCTTTGAGAGCAGGGAACTGGCCTCAAAGAATCGCATCCCAAAAGGCAGCAATAGAAAATTGATGTCATCAATTTTCTATGGAGATGAAACTAGAGGTTTACATTCCAACTACAGGATATTTTTGACTAAAAACAAGAATATTGCTGTTAGAATCTAGTTTAGAGTTTAAAATCTTCTTGGCTCAGATATCTTTGGGAATTTCCTGCACAGATACATCAACTGGGAGGGCAAAAAAAAGCACACATTTTTGATTCCTACAATCATACAAGATTGTGCAACCTGGAGGATGAATAGTACTACTCTTTCCAATAATACGCGTCAAGGAACGAAAAATAGCTTTTGCACTGCATTTCCTGATCTACCAGCAGCAGGCTAAGCTGACAGCAAATGGTGATTCAAGAGGGTATTTGAACATTGCTATTGATGATTCTTGGTAAGTTTAACCTCATCTTCATTCAAAGTTGTTGTCATCGAAGCTTTAAAAGAATTTTTCATAAAAAATAATAAATTATTGCTGAAAAGCTACTGTAGTGCTTCCATGAAATGAACTGGATTTATTAAGGGGAGAGTAGTACATTGAATCGTCCAAAATTGTCCATTAGCAAATACACCAAGCAAATGCAAAGGGTGAACTTTTCCAGGCCAATCCTGTAGTAAAGCAAGTACCCATTAATGTCAGACGTTCACTGCGTACCTCTTTATAACTAGCATCCACAAGAGTGCATAACCTAATTTCTTTTAAATGGAAAATTTCTGTAAATTCTTATTAATGAAATGCAAACTTTACCCCACCATCCCATACTGGAATGCATAGCTTCAAATGTTAAATAAGTCAGACAACTGAAAAGGCACTTGAAAATCGCCTCATACAGAAAATATATGTAACCCAATCTTAAATCAGTCATATCCCTCATTTGAATGAGTTTGTGCCCAAGGGAATACTGGAAGGCTGGAACATCGACCACAGCGGCAGGGTAAGCGGAAACACCGACGTCGACGCGAGACCGAAAGGGCAATCTATGAGCAATGTCGGTTAAGGGATGCCGTGAAGGTCGAATTTGACGTAGAGGGCCTGACAGCGTTCGTAGATGCTGTGGATGGACACGATGATCTCGGTGCCTTTGGCCCTGAGCGTGGCCATCGTCTCGTCGTCCTCGTACGTGATGCGCCGAAAGAGGTCCTTCTTCTGCGGCAGCGTGAGCATGGCCAGCTTCACGGTGTTGCGGACGATCCAGCCGTGGTGCTTCGACAGGGTCTTCTCGTAAGAGCCACGACCCATGGAGGACATGGATGCGTCGTCCGATGCTTCGTTGGCTTCCTTCAGGAATTCCACGATGAATTCTACGAGAACGAACCCATCGATAAAATTAAGCACAGTCGTACGTTTCATCGTAGACGAAACGGAAATGTCTGCTTCATAAAACAAGGAAACTTGCAAGAAGAACAAAATGACCGACAGGAATTCCCGTGAATTCCATGAGAGAAAAATCTGCAGGTTAGTTAGATCTGAGAAAGGCTGCAATTTCTCAGAACCGAGTTTTCACTTTAAAATTATTTGGCATGATCTACTGTTTGAATTGCAAGCAAAACCATAAAGCCTTTAAAAAATCTCCACGTAATGAAGAATCACTCAACTTTAAAGCTGATGGCCTCAAAATACTATCCAACTATAAAAATATTATCAATGTCAAAAAGAGAGAAGATGGTGTTTCAGTTTCCCCTATTTTGGAATATTTTTTAATGGCGGTACCATAGTTAAAAAAAAAGTTTCAGCTTAAATTGGGCCACTGATGTACCAGTTAGCACTTCTTTCCCTGGTCAATCATCATTGTAACACCATTGACCCATTTGCCCACTTTATTTATATATATATATATATTTTTTTTTATGGATTTCCATCACAAAGCCCATCTGGTGGCATGCTTCCTTATGATTTTGCTTCCCAATGCATTCTTTGAATAATGTACCACTTTGCCCTGAAGTTAAAGCACACATCTCATCTAATATTTTCTCCAAAAGGAATACTGTTTGTGAAATGACATTTTTCTAAATCCTTACAGCCTTGTAAAGGAATTAATAAAGAAAGGTGCATGAATTGCTTCAGCATCTCATGCTTCAAATTGGCATTAGAGAAAAAGAAACAGTGAGGGCTCTTTTAATGTTTCCAGCACAAGGTGATAAGAGTACCAAGCCCAAACTTAAATTTAATTCATGACTTTCACAAAGAGCAACTGAATTTGTGTCCGTAAAACTAAAGGCAAGAACATGGGAGCTCGCATGAAATTTCACAATGGACATTTGTTGGGTAAAGGGTCCCAAATTAGGCATGACACTCCTAAAGCATTGAGAGAACAATAAAAATTTGCGAAACCAAACGTGGACTAAAGAGAGCTACGACACAAGAAGGGACTAAGCAATGGTCCCTGTCAGTTTGCCTACAAGGCATAAGATGTCCACTGCAGATGCTACTGCCTCTCTGTGAACTATAATCCCCAGTTTCTTGACAAGAGGGGAACCGCCTTTGTTAAGAGTCTCTTGATTACAGCTCATCCTTCCATATCATAAATAGATAAGAAGTGGTTTGTAATCTCAGAAAAGCAAATATACCAGTAAGGCTTCTCAACATGATTAAATCCTACCTGTCTAAAAGATATCATTATGTGCAGGTGGGATAAGAGTCCTCACCTAACATGGTGTGCAAGACAGGAGTGATCAAGGGGCAGTTCTATTCCCCGGTCCGTTTGCTCTCACGACTGACAGTCTCTGATCCTGCTCACCGAACTGCACAGCACTAACATGCGCCGATGACACCATCATCGCTGTTGGCAATGGCAATGCCGAGGACTATTCCAATAATTGCCGGTGCATCCCTGTGAGTGGTTCCTCAGAATCTTGTGCCAAATTCAGAGAAATCTAAGTAACTGTTTTTCAACCAGAGAGGGATAATAAAAAAAACCCAGGATCATCTCTCTTATAAATGAGGAAATTTCAATGAATGGTCGCATGATCCATCCCTCAGAAAATGCAAAGTACCCTGGGATAATTTTAAATAAAAGCATATGCTTCAGATCACATGTTGATCTCGCTAGCACTCCACGGAACCCCGCCGTTGAAAAGCCGCAGAAGGAAGAGCGATGCAATCGCGCTGTTTATTGATGCTTGTATCTTATCTCCAGTTTTCTATTGCTTATCAGTGTAAGAAAACCATCTGAAACAGGTATGTGTTTCAAAAATCCAAAGGCTACAGAGAGCATTGGCAAAAATCCAAGGCACATGCTCCAACACCCTAGATCCCTCATGCTTGAGTGGTGTAACCACACAGGTCCCATAATGGCACTGTAATATTTAACTAAATACCCTGCAATACCTGCATTCACTGCTGATGACCTCTTATACATCGGCTGGACCAAATACCAGGAAAGACATTGCATACCTACCAGGCTACCCAAAAATGTAAAGAAAAACTCATTTATGGTCCATTTAGTAAAAAAAATCTAAACATGGTTCTAAACATCTTTTTATGCAGTTTCTGTCATTGAAACTGTGATGAACATCTGTGATGCACCTCTAAAATTTGACAAACTTTGAACTTCCTGAACTCGCATGACTAATTTGTCCTCTTAAGCAGTTTTATCTCATTTTCATCTCATTATCTTTTTTATCTTTGATGCTCCCTCCCCCCTTCTCAAAGATGACCCGAATGCAAAGGAAATGAACTCGAATCTTGAAGTGCCTCCAAAGGACTACAACTTCCCATCTGAAAGAATGAGGAAGACCTGGCACATTGAAATAGAGCAAGTCTGTAGCGTTTGTAGATTAATTTTGGAGCAAAAAAGGCAATAAGAGAGCATATCTGAACAAAAAAATCACTCCTGTGCTCATGCCGACCGTATCGAAACCATCAGCTCGTGTGGCGGATCCTATGCCGATCGAGACTGCAAGACCTTGGCAACGATCACACGAGCAGGGAAAAAAGACAAGACTTACGAGGAAAAGGAAAGCAAGAATGGAAATTGAATACCTCCTTCAAGAATGTAAAAACAAAGGAAAGAGGCACTCTGTCATTTGTGATCCCTCAGGATGATGATTTTGTGTGGAGGATAGTTAGGACTCACAGCATCTTTCCACAACAGTGGATAGTACTCATTATAAAAAATGATAGAAAAGAATGGAGCCAGGCTGCAGGCAGCACGACAATAAATTGCCAGTGAGTGTAAACGGACTAAGACAGAGAAAGGAAAATCTGTCCTGCCCGACTTGGAATGCAAAACCGACTTCATGCTTAGATCCCCCCAAAATGCACTGTCTGAAATAATAATCAGCTGATGCAATGACCATTGCTTTGCACTGAGCCCTCTGAAAGCCCATGCAACCCAGCCGGGAAGGGTTTCAAACACGTCTAACTCGACGGGTCGACCACAAGTTCGAAGCACGAAATTCCGTCGAGGGCGACGAGTCTCTCACCGAGGGCGCGGTGGAGTCGGAGAAGCAGAACGGATCCGCTGCGTGGATCCTTTCGATGGACGAGATCGTTGCTCGTTTCGAACTCCATCATGGTCTTGAACGTCAGGTAATGCTGGCCTTCCTTGCTCTCGACCAGATCCCGAGTCTGCTCGATCTTCGTGGCCACGTCCGAGTGGACGAACCCGAAGACGGTTCCCATCAGAGGAAACAGCCTAAAAGATGGAAAATATCATGTTGAGGCTTCTACTTGTCTACTTATGCTAGTGAATTTACTTGCATGCAGTCCTTTCAGGCCTACACCTATGATAGGCTAAATTCTATGATAGCCTAGGCTAACGTTGTCGATTTTGGATCGATTTCAATAGGCCCGCAAGCCATTGGCTTGGGCCTGTTGCGCTGAATTGTCTCTTTTCTGATTTTGGCTGGCTGTAACTCACTTGTTCAAGGCTTCGTAAGCCTCCAGGTACTTGGGGATGTCAACGTCATCCGGATCGATTATGCTGGTTTTGAATATTTCCTCGACTTTCACCAAGTTGAATCTGTCTGCGTCCTGATGGTGATGATGATGATGATGATGATTGCTCATGTTCACCGCTGCAAGCCCACACCAGTAATTCCTCGCAAAACGTGTCAAGGAGACTCCGGCCCACGGTCCTGAGGTTTCCCCACCGTCCCACTTAAAGCCCAACTGGCGAGCAGCCAGGAAGAGCAGACGGCTGCGAGAGCCAACTCGCACTCCGATTGGCCGCCTGGCATCTCACCTGACAGACGACAGGAGGAGAACGGCTTCCCATTGGCCCGCGTGCGCCACAATGGCGAGTCCCATGACCGGATTCCCACGTGGATTGGTAGGTCGGGTGGGCCTGGTTCAGTCTTTCATTGTTGTGCTGTCGGCGTGGAGATCCTCAAGTCATGTGCTTACTCTAAGAGAAGCAAATGAGTGAAAGCTCGATGCTTTCGGCATGAAATGACGGCAACGGACAAAATTAATGAACATCCCTTCAAATAATATTAATAATCCGTCAGATCATTCGACCTAATTTTGGGCAATGACAATGCCAGCCCTGAAGCGAGTTCGTTTCGGGTGCCCAGACGTCCAAGAACAGTCTAATTCTTTCTTTGATGTTCGAATTTTGTGCTTGGTGCAAATTCCTACCCTTGGATTACATTCCTGTTCCCCATTGCCTTGCTGCTCAAGACATCATTGCCTGGAAATATTACGAAAATGTTTTAACTTCTAAGAACGTCAGGTCACTGTAAAATTCAAGGAACGATTGAACTCTTTGGCGAGTTGCCCTTGATTTAAAGTATGTTAAGTACATGATTATTGAGATTGAGATAATGAGCGAAATAGGCCAAAGTCATTAATCGAAGAGAATGCTGAACCAAAATGCCATAGGAAAACACTGTTTGTGAAAGTAGGCCTAAGCCTGGCCTTCAAGCTCCCTTTTTTTAAATTTTTAAAAAATATTTTTTTAATATTTTTTTTTCAGGAGTATGTTGGCAGACATATTTTGAGTATTTGCTTTTATAAATCAAAAAAGGGGAAAATGTACGTACCTTTCCTAACAGTGCATTCAAAAGTTATGCCAAGTCGAGTTTTTGTTCCCAATAAAATTTTCTATGAAATTTCTGTAATTATTGTCATAATGGGAGGGTACATACACAAAAATTTACAAACCTCCATTTATATGTGAAAATTAAATGCCTTGGTTGTAGGTTTTGATCGAGAGAGTGTGGGCCTACAACAGCTCGAAGTAGTCTCATTCTTAAATAAAATTGTAAAAAATGAAAAATGACATCTTCGTAATATTTCATCGGTCTCGACCGTTCCGTGTTTGGTTTTTGCGTTTCTTCACTTCAGCAGCTGCCTGTGTGATGCAGCCCTGCCCCAACTTGTCGCGTTCAGGAATTTCTGCTCCCATTAACCCAATTAGAACTTGTCTCGGAACGTGGCGATTTGCCTGCTCCTGATTGCATCTGCGGATTGTTATTTCGGCATGAAAATCTTGAATTTGAGACTATCCCATAAGGAAAGATCATATGTGGTAGTTCTATGCAATTTTCTGTTCCTTATAATTTCATATATTTATCATGTATTGAAATTTGCAGGCATATATGATTGGAGCATATGATCCATGTAAGGATTATTGTTAAACATATTAAACATACCAGGGCAGCATATATGTTCTGTATAAAGGAATTATACAATTTGAGGAATGGACTCCTGCATATATGATACACCTTGTTTAACCCTTTCATGGCGTATGATCATTATAAGGATAATATATAATATATTTTGAGACTGCTCTTGCGGTTACCATTGAGCAAAACCTGTCTCATATGGTATCGTTTAAGAGCTCTCGAAAAGGGCTCTTCAGTGATGCATCATTTGTTCAAATAGGTTGAAGTTCAGGCAAGTTGGTGCAGAAAGAAAAGTTGTGACCTGATATTTTTCATTACTTTTGTGAAATGGAGTTTTGAATGAAAATGTTAGATTTTTTTTTGGAAAAGGGAATAATATGCTGCAAGAATGAGTGGATGAAATCGGGACAAGGACCAATTTATATTGGCTCTCCATGTGTGAACGATGGCCTGTTATTAAATATTTTCAGTTGATGATTCTTGTAATTAAAAATGTCAGTTTTTGAATACATGAATTTGAAATTTTCTGCGAGCTCTGTCTTCATCTAGGCTTCTTCAATGGAAAAAGTGGTGAAAAAATGTCCTAGTAATTCGTTTTCTTAATTCAGCCATGAGTTAAGTATATGGTTTTTATGAAGAACTTTCATATATTGTGAATACACACTCAGCATGCATGCTTTCATTAAAAAAATGTGTATTGCTGGAAATGTATATTGTACCATATGCATATGGGATATATAATTTATATGGTATGACCATATGGTATAAAAAACAATTACTTTGTGGCCTTTTTATTTATAATTTAAAAGTAGTACATGCATCATGCTGGAGAGGTTTTGCTGCTCTTTTAAATGGTGGTTATGATCCTGCATAATGGCTTGCATGCCATTCCTTATGAAGCCATACAAAGCAAGCATGACACGCTCTGAGGCTTCAGGCTTCTACACAATCGGGCCGTTCTCACGATTCCCATCGTGAAGTGCGCATAAGACCAATTCCGAGTGTCAGGGATATGAAGTAACTGCTGTGATTTTCCTTTCATATTCTTCTTCCCTGATTGGAAGCACTAATTGACAGATCCTGATTGATGGCACAACTTGACAGTTCTGACTGAGAAAATTTTGCACAACTTGAAATTGATATGGACATCTTTGTTCACTTATTCCAACATGTTTAATTTTCAGCGCATTTGTGAGTAGTTTTTGTATTTTTACTGAAGTAACAAACGAAGTGCCAATTTTAGACTAAGTTCCAGAAGTCATTTTTTATTTTGGGAGGGACTTGCTAGAGTGTCATGATTTCTTGCATTTTTCCATGAACCCATGAACCATTGTTTCAATAACAATTTATGATCAGATATATTTTCCCATATATGCTCATAAAATATCATATATGATAGACCATGCATTTCCCATATATATTATATGCCCATTTCTTGTAAATCATGTACAATTTTTCCATATGGGTACTGCCATCAGTTGTTGCATCCATGCTAGCCTTCCAGGAAGATATTTCGAGACCCGATTTTCTTCACCCCGTGTGGCTCTACTTTTTATTTTCCTCTGTGATTTTCTGGAAGGAATTGACTTATCCCAACAGTGCACTAATGTAATAATATATTTATGCTTGTAGGTGGAATTTAATGAGTTCCTGTCATGCGAGAGAACTGCAAGTACTTCGATGTCGGTTACTGGAATTCTCGCTACGAGGCGGAAGCCTCCTACGAGTGGCTGGTGGATTACCAGACCCTGAAAGAACACCTCAATGGCCTGATGTCACGTGATGGCAACATACTCGTGTTAGGTGAGGCTGTTGTTCTCTCCCCTTGGTCATTTTTTCAACCGGTTCAAACGAATGCATTTTTCCAGGGTGCGGGAACAGCTCGCTGAGCGAAGACCTGTACAATGACGGGTACAAGAGGATCACGAACGTGGACTACTCCCCGGTCGTGATCGAGTCGATGAGGAGCAGGAGCGCCGCGGCCTCGTCGATGGCGTGGCTCGTCGGGGACGTCCGAGATCTGGACTTCCGACCGTCGGAATTCGATACCGTCCTCGAGAAAGCCACTTTGGATTCCCTGCTGGTTCGAGAAACCGATCCGTGGCATCTGTCTGCGGAGGCTTCTTCCTTGCTTCACAGGGTTCTGCACAAAGTGGGTGCATTCACTCTTGGAGGAATTGTCATTCTAGCACTATGCCTCTCTCACCCCTCTCCTTCATGTATTGATTTTTATTGCATACTGAACTTGCATTGCATTCAAAAAAATATATTAATATTGCTCTCTTGGAGAGATGTGAAAGATGTAAGAAGTCTTTCTCTCTAGGGCCATCTCAAGTTTCAAGCCTAATGTGATGGGGAGTGGATTCTTAAGGTCTTTCTTCGAGGTAAATATTAGATTGACATGGAAAGTATTGGTGGATAGCCTGGTAACCTGCTTATTTGAGAGTAATTTCTTCCTGAAGTGAGTGCTCAGTGACATGACTCAATCAACTGTGACCTTTCTTGGCTAGGTATGCTTATCCAGGAATGGAAACTTATTTCCATTTTTAGATCAGAGTTGTATATTTGTGATTGTTTTTGTTACCTGCAACTATGATAGCCATCTTTTGGGGCTATCATCCATCTGGAATAGGAAACTTCCATGAATGGTAGCATAATTGGAAAACCTTGAAGGACATAGTAAGCAAGTAACAGTAACTATTTTTATTACTTATTCATAATATAATTTTGAATCTCAATTGCAATGTCATTACAAATTGTGACCTCTTGCATCCCATGCGGCCACTTTGATGCATGTGCCGTTCGCCCCTCAAGATGCAGGCTGGTCCGAAAGTCAGGGGATGCATCGAGGATGCCATAGGCGGCAGACGATATGCACACGACTGTGACTTTGGGATGCAAAGGAGAAAATTCGTGCACTCGTGTCGACTCGACACGGCGCACTGACGTTTTCGTGCTCTCCATCCTGGATTTGCAGCAGCTCCCTGAAGCGCCTCTATCGAGTAAAGAAAATGCAGTAGGTCGGTATCTGTTGATGGCATGCTTCTCGCTGCTACCCTTGGTTGCATTCGCCGTGCCTTCGTACCCTGACCCATTTTCTCACCGTCCTGCATCGTCGGCCCTATAGATCCTCCTCCGATGTGACTTTTTTTGCATCATCTGTTATGTGCATTCCTATAGTGTGTGCTCTGTACTTAATGCATCTGTCTGTTATGACCTCAAGAAAAGGCCTCCTGACTGTTACACTTCCCTTTAGGTGAAATGAAATTTTATGAATGAAAAACAATCAATGACTTATGCAGAGTGCTCTTATTGAAACAAATGTCTTTCCTTTGCTTATTTTAATGGTAGAGATCCATTGAATGCTCTTTGTAACTGTTTCCAGTACTTCTACCAGAATTTAGAGCAGGTAGGGAGGATTCCTGACTTCCCAAAGTAAAGGTATCATAGAAGTAGTTATAATGGAATGCTTAGATAGTAGTTGCAACCATAAGATGCCAAGTCCACTAAAGGTTTCTGTGGGCAAAGGGCACCGACTTACATGACTGACAAATGACTGACGCATATGTCCGAAGGAATTGCACTCAATTTGGACTCTGTCTTGCTGGCTGCTAGAAAGTAGACTTCTGCCCTGGTCCAGTGTTTCCTACTTGGTTGCATTTGCTTTCAAACTCTGATTTTTGACAATTGGATTTGCATGTGAGACTCTCTTCTTCTGCCGCTTTCTTTCCATGATAAAGGAATATAAGGAAAATTTTCAGCTTTTTCCACCTCAAGTGTAAGCAATATACAAGCATAGTTGTTGCCTATGTCTTCTGATATATATTTTAAAATAGATTGTTCACTGGAAGAAGTTTCAGATTTTAGACATTTACTTTTTGGTGTTTTTTCATGCATTGTTTTCTAAGAAAGTTGTCGCTCGCCGAGTGACCACCATACGGAAGGAGCAGTTTACAATATCTATGCTCCTCTGTTTCTTCATTTCTATCAGGTGAGCGAGATCCTGAGGCCTGGAGGCAGGCTGATCTCGGTGTCCTTCGCTCAGCCTCACTTCCGCTCCTGGGTCTACGGAAAGCCCGAGTACAGGTGGTCGGTGGAGTGGAGGAGCGTGTCTCCGTCCCCGTCTTCCGACGCCTTCGCCTACCATCTCTACTGGATGACGAAAGGAGAAACCCTGTCGAGCAAGTTCTCGAGCCCGCCTCCCTGGACGAGGGAGGATCGCACGTCCGACGGCTGTGCCACTCCCGTTTCTGACGACGAGGACGACTTTCTGACTCGTATCTCTCTGTGAGGACCGAATCGACGATGTTGCTTCCTACGAGATTTCTATTTTTGGAGTAATTTTAATTGAGAAGTGCTTCTCACCCGAGCATGGCTTCCAACTCCTTGTTGCAACAGTCTTCTGTCTTCCCCTGCCGTGTTGAAGATTTCATAGTAAGGGATCGATGATTCACATTGACACAATGAAGTGGTTTGCTCCGAAGGAAAGGGTGAGGTTCAGCATAAGGTTGTTTTTCAGAAGGTGATAAGGTTCTGGCCAGTGATAAAAAACTCCATGCCCATTCATAAATTTTATCAGTCTCCTTGCGCTCAAATGCAACTTGAGCAAAGCAGTATTAAAACAAATTATTTATATGGAAGTCGATGATATAAATTTACATTTTAAAACCTAGGTTCAGGTTTTATTGAAAGCTCTTGAATGCATGCAAATTTCAATATAGCAGCCAACACATTAACAAACAAATAAGAACTTGAAACATGTTATGAGTGGAATATTTTAAAAACTTTTGCTGGTTTCCCCAACTTCTAGCTCGGGGGTCTCATGAGAGAGAATAACGTGTTCATTTTTAGAAGGTACCAGGGAAGAGCAAGTCACTCATTGCATATTTGATACCTTAAGATTACAATAAAGTAACCTAAGAGATTGTGGATCTATTTCTTCAATGAGTCTCTATAAGAAAATAGTTTCATTCGGCAGTTTTCCCTCGAGCCGTATTGAGGTATGGGGCGAGACTTCATTCTTCAAACGGGGCGGATGGAGTTGTCAATCTTTGAGCAAAACCACTCGAATAATGCACCTTTTCAGGTCGAACTTTCTCTTGGGTGGTAACGAGTCCCTTTTGTTTTGGTTCCAAAAATCCCTAAAAGGCCCTAAAATTCCTTGCAGTTTTGTAGTTATTCTGTCATCAGGGTCTATTTTTTTTACCACGTTTTATCGGTCCAAATTTGCATGTGCCTCCTGTTCTCAGGGATACAGATGCAAGTTGTTCATGAATAAAAGAGAAGCCAAAATGTGGTTTCTTCCTCAATACTGCAGGAATCTGCAGTGACACGATGTGCGATGAGGACAATTTGACAAATGGACAGTTTCAGACTCGATGTCTGTTCCATTGTAAAATAAAAATAAAAATTTTCCCAATAAAGTGGCCAAAAAATATGAAAATAAGTTTCTTCCATGAACGGAACGAAGGACGAGGCAAGATTCGGAGCTCTCGGATGAGTGGTGCAAAAATTGCCCCAAGCTCGATGAGAGTAAATGTGGGATTCTTCGCATCGGCTCAGAAGAACCAAGGCTGGGAACAAAGAGATTTTTAGCTCGATCCAGTCATCCATTGCGAGCTCGCACGAGGTATTGGTTGCGGCCCTTGCAAGACCCCATGCGGAGTGTCGTGTCCGGTTTTGGAGGCCTCTCAGCGAAGTGGATACAGAAGCACTGGAGAGCGTCGGGAGCCGGGCTCCGACGGTCATAAGGGAGCAACGAGGACTCGAATGGGCAAATGACGTCTTGAGGGTAAAAGTCGGCTGGCTTTTCCAGCACGATGGTAGCAGCCGGAGGGAGAAACCCGTTCTCGACCTCCGCACGGTATGTGAACGTGGACAGAAAACCTCCAATCGAAGTCGAAACTTAAAAAAAATTCCCATTTCTCATTTATAGTTCCTGATTTTTGGTATTATTTTTTCCACCAATTCGTTTCGCGAAGTGACTCGTCACGCCGCATTTTTCGTAATCAGCCCTCTCTTATTGGAACCATCTGAAAATTCGTTTGTGCGTTCGTTGAATTTTTATATAGGAAACAATTCAGTTGTTCCGACGTCAAGTACTAATGTCATCGACTAATGAGACAAATGAAAAATTTGCATGAAGTAAAACGTGATGCAAAAATCATCCAGGATCTTAGGATGAGAGATCTCGGCACTATAGAAGATGATATGGACCTCTCGTCAAGTACTAATGTCATCGACTAATGAGACAAATGAAAAATTTGCATGAAGTAAAACGTGATGCAAAAATCATCCAGGATCTTAGGATGAGAGATCTCGGCACTATAGGAGATGATATGGACCTCATCCGCTCAGAAAATGAGACCGTTCGCAGTCTTCCCCCCCGGAAAATCCTTGACGGCCCACGCATGAGCCCTCGCGACATCACCGGGTGAAGCCCCCCGAGGCACCCGCTTCCCGAACGGTAGATTCTTGGGTAGCTTCAGGCCACCCCCGAGGCATCTCCTCAGGAACCCCACGACAGCAAGGGGAAGGATCTCGATGATTTCCAGGAACATGACCAGGGAGATCCCCAGGTACAGGCTCAGCGCTCCCCCCAGGTTGCTCAACAGGCTGACGCTCTGCCGGCAACGAAACGAGTCCACCGTCCATCACGACATCCGATGACGATACGACTCCATCATCGAAGACGAAACTCACGTTCACGCTGGGAACTTCCTCCATCGTTTCCTGGGCGACCGACGAGAAGTAAACGAGCAGCTCGACCACCTCCGTTTTCAGCGTGTCGCCTATGACGACGCGACTCCATCATCGAAGACGAAACTCACGTTCACGCTGGGAACTTCCTCCATCGTTTCCTGGGCGACCGACGAGAAGTAAACGAGCAGCTTGACCACCTCCGTTTTCAGCGTGTCGCCCGAATTCTGCCTCGTCCGGGGTAAATCCATCTCCTTCAGCGCATCTGCCTGAAGAGTTTCGTCATCTCAAAGTGACTACAACCTCCTAATCGTGATTCTAGTTCATCGTGGGATTGGACTTGCCATGTAGGACTTCGTCGGCCATTCCGATGAGGAAATCGTCTCTTGGTATCCGATTTGACTGCGAACAGGAAAAACGACCTCGTTTGACCAAGATCTTCTACTTTTATCGGATGTCACGAGCCTACGTACTTGGGCCAGGTCGGAGTAACTTCATAATTCATAATTTTATGATTTGGCACGACGTAATAGCGGTTGAGAGTTATGTTGTGGTGGAGGCGGGAAGATTTGGGATGATTTGCTATGCAGGGGAAAATTGTATTGGATGAGCTCATGGATCGTCTGACAGAAGTGACAGGAACGTAAGATGAAGTGTTTAGAATGAAATGGAGTATTTTTTAATTAGTAAAAAATTCCAAAGAAATATGTATTTTTTATTTTTTTTTATTTAAAAACGCGCATGGCGTGTCGTACAAAGCCTGTCGGGAAAACCGCTGAGTGCATCAGATGTCTGGAGGTGCCTCCGCCATCAAGGGACTGGAGTTTCACGTAGGAGCGGATGGCATGACAGGGTGGATGTCGGCGCGAGGGACCCCCTTGGGCATGGGGCCCGCCGCAAGTTCCCTCTTTTGCCCTTCCCCTTCTCCATCGGCCTGCTGTGTCAACTCACAATTGCGACTCCAGTCCTAAGACGGCGAGGTGTCTGGAGAGACTCGCCGCCCAGCTCAGTGGGCAGGCCTCTCCGTTATCGACTCTCTATTGGGAAAGTATCAGTAGCTTCCCAGCTGTTGCATGCGTGAGTTCGGAAAAGGATTTTCCTTTTCGTCATGACTTAATACCTTCAGAATGAAATATTGGAATGGAAACTTGGAGTTCCGAAAAATTCGAGGACCACAAATCTTATGATGGTGAATCATCGATATTTACGGATGGATCATCGATAGCAAAATGAATGTCCAAGTCGTAGCTTTTGAAATCTTTTCCAGGAGAGCCGAATTGGAACATAACTAGATTCGCAAGAACCAGTATAGGCGAGCAGAAAAGAGAGATGAACGGAAGGAGGACTCACGTGCATTCGGCGTTGCAGGGGCAAGTGATGTTCCCGTTCGCGAAGTCGTGCAGCGTTTCCATCACGCACAGATTGTCCGAGCTATCTGCAAGGGATCGGGAGGGAATCGTCATCGAATAGCATGAGATACGTAAAAAAGGGGGAACGAGATCGAGCGTCTCCCTCAGATCTGCACAATCATAGAGACAAGCGAGATGCAGACTGTAGGTTTTGAGGTTGCAGACTTGACCTCTCCCCCGCGTCCCGTTCGAGAAGGTGAAGTAGTCCTGGACGTAGGGGAACTTGCAGCGGCCTCGCCTCACCATCGTCGCCTGCAGACACATCCGCCTGCACATCTGCATCCAAGTGAGACGACGACCTGGTCGACATTTCGCCTTCGAGTCATCGGGGAATCTGACGCGAGCGAGGATTCATGGAAGTATGTTTTTCTAATACCATTTCTGTTATTATTATTATCATTCGATCTGTCACTTCAATTTCCTTCTGTGAAAGGTTTCGTCTTACTTGAGTTGCGGAACAACTAGGATCACAGGAGATCTTCCAAAACGTTGAAAGAAAATGATAAACAATGGAACTTTTTGACCGTATAGAGATCGTCCTCGAGATGGTGTCAGAAAATTACATTGAGAAAATGGAGGGAATGGAAATCACTCATATATTACGTGAATCCAGAACTTAATTCTTATTCGAGCCCATTTCCTTTACCATTGTCCCTGCGTATAATCTGCCGTCGTTCTGGGCAGTCACTTCAGGTAGATTTATGTTTTTTTTTTGGTATATTTTAGGTATGAGTCTGTTCCTCTGGTACCGAAGTACTGACCTGAACGTCGTAGGAGATGATGTTGGAGTTACTCGGGTAGAACCCGCACTTTTCCCAGGAACTGTAGCAATCGTGCTCATAGGGGTATGCCAGCCTAGAGACTTTCACCTATTTATAATAATAAAAAAATCACGAAACAGATCTACTGTTATTCGTTGAGTCCTCAAAGCAATTTCTACTTTGCATATTTGTTTTCTCATAGGGGAAAATTTTCTTCGCTCGATCGATTTAAAATATCGCAGACGCGGAAAAGCGAACGGACGCGTCTGAAAGAAATGACAGTCTGGCTAATGCGCTGGCTGCACCGTGTCACTCAATTTAAAAAATGTCTCATTTGTATCTTTTAAGATTGCCCAATGAATCGAATGAAAACGATTCAACCGCTCATCATGTATAGAATTAAAAGATTCGACATGAATTGCAGTCCCATTTTCAAATTTATTTTTAAATAGAAACATGTTACTTTCCATTTCTTGGAAGTGCTTTTGCCTGGAAATATTTTTTTTTCGGTTCTACTATATTGACGCTATGTTTCATTCATTCATGCAGTGCGTACTTGTACTTGGAATATTTATTCATGCCATGATGCCGCATACTGTGTGTTGATGGTTCATTTTCCATTCGTCGTTTGAACGTACAATTGCAGCTTCCCCTCGGCTTTCTCTATTCCTGATGAAAACATTCCTGCACCCGACAAGTCTCGCCTATCTTAGGTCGACAGTCATAGGTTTGCACCTGTCTGAGCGCGACGTTCGTGGCAGAGCCGGCCCGGGCATCGAATCCGGTCTCCTCGGGGGAAGGGAGGCTGTCGGGTCGGTGGATGACGACGCGGACGCCGCCCTCCGACGACAGCACGCTGGACGGCCACTCGCTCGCGTTCAGGTACAGCTCCAACTCCAACCCTGTCGATGACCGAATTTAATGAATGAGAACAGCCGTCCCTATGCGATGCGACCTCATTCAGAGAATAGACTTTCGAAGCAAAAACAGAATGATTCATGAAGGGGGAAGACATATTTCCACATAACTGATTAAATATCAGGTGTTCATCATCCAATACGATCGTTTTTAGACTATCTCGACCCCCAAAAAGGTAATATTAATGCAAATACTTTCCAACCTCATCACAAATTCTGCAGCGGGATTGGAATTTCTCTCAAATTTTATATGAATACGAAGCGATTCAATAGGACGATTTGAAAAGTGATGTGATCCGGAAGTGAATGCTCGAAAAGCTGCAACAAGCGCAAAAAATGTCCTTATTGTTTTTTGCTCCTTTGATTTGCATTGCTATATAATGCTTAACCCTTATTGAGTATGGAAGAGGAGCAGAGGGACAAAATAGAGCTTCGTACCATAGGGTTTGCGGTGAAGACGGTTTTCCTGGATCCGGCGAGCGGATCGGAGTCGTTGTTCAGAATCAGGTTGAAGGAATAGCAGGTTCCGTAAGTCGTGTTCACGTACGGCAAGAAATAGCTCCACGAAGAAAGAGGATTTTTCGAACGAACCAGTAAAAGTCTGGATGCGCAAATTTTGTAAATTGACCTGGTGCAATCGACGCCCTCGTATGTGCAGGTGCGGATGAACTCGTCTCTGTCTTGCATGATCGCGGCCTTTTCCTCCGGGGTGAGACGAGCCAGGCGATACAAGTAAGTATTCACTGTCACCCTGTCGTTCGCGAAGTTTTTCCCGCTCGGCTACGGGAGAGAGAGAGAGAGAGAGAGAGAGAAGCAACCATGACGAGAAAACCAGGCTACGAACTAGAGCTGATGCGACCAGGAATCTGGAAAATGTGACGTTTATCGCTCCTTAACGATTCGGTTCTCCTGTTTTGAGGTTCAGCGCTTCAAATTAACTTCCTTTTTTTTTTGGTTGTTTTCCTTCCGTTTTTTTCTTCCATGTGATTCTTGTGACTGTTTAGCACTCTCCGTCGCCTGTGATCTAATTCCTTCATTGAACTGCTTTGAATTCGATTGCAAAGAAACAGGCATTCCGCAATGGTCTCGCTCAGACGTCAACGGGACTCAACAGACGAACAGGTCGAAGTCCGGCAGACTCCTCCGTATGGCTGGATCTCGGTCTGAAAATCTGGCCTTAAATTTATATACTTAATCGTGGAACAAAAGTGGATGCCGAAAACCGCCCTCCACGTGACAAACCAAAAGATTTGTCAATTGATAGATCTTGATCAAAGCTGTCAATAGGCACAAATCTGTCAATCCTAACATTGAGTGACAGGTCATCAAATTTCAAATGTTCTGTTGTTAGTTTTTTTTTTCTACGTTTGTCTATATGTTAAACCTGGTAATAAAAAAATGCAATCGCTTTTTAAAATTAGAATAGACCTATACTCCGTTAAAAAATGTTCAAAAAGAATTCAACGATACCATTCTCAAATATGTTTTGTTGTTCGTAAACGCATTCAAGAGGAAGTAGACAGAGATGAGAAATATCTTTATTAAAAGGAAGTCCTAAGAATAATCCGAAAAATCGGGAGAGACTGCCTTACATTTATTCTCAAAAACTACTTAAAATATAATAATAATCAACATTATTGAGTACATCCCTATAGAGTTAGTTGCACTATTATTCACGTAAACCGTGCCAAGGGCAGTAGTATTGCATTAAAGCGTGATGATAAGCCTTGTCAGATATGAAGTCTTGCATGCTAAAGCACGCTTCATTGCAATAACGCTGCCTATGGTTCGGTCGACGTAATACATTCTGACTTTATATAAAAAAATCATAATTTATAACATGGAGCTATCTTCTCGTTGCGACGACCGACAACGTGCTACTCCCGAAATTTAAATGCCAGCAAAGTCGCTGAGCGACATCTGCGTAGTATTTGAGACCAGTGATGAAGAACCGACTTAATTTGTATTTATTATTTTTATTATTATGTGCAGAATCACCGTAACGGGTAGCAAACGACAGCATGGTGGCTTAATTAGTTTTTGTTTTTTTTTTAAATAAACATATGGCTATATATGAGCATGAACTCATTCCAAAGTAACTTAGGCAGACTAACTCAGGAAAAGTTTCAACGTAGAGGGCTTTTATATCCTCAAATTACGTAAGCATTCGCAACGTTTTTTTATTCTCGCCGGCTTCATTTGAAGTTTGATGACCTGTAACTCAAAGGTCGCGCCCTCTGACGGATTTGTGCCCATTGACAGCTTCGATCTGCTCATCGATTGACACCTGTTTTGGTTCGTGGTCGCAGAGGATGTTGGCATCCTCCTTCGTCTCGTCTGGGCTGTGGAGCAGAGTCCCACAGGGTTCCACGCTGCCTCTGCCAAGCGAACACTTCCTTTACAGCAAATCGAGCATACGCCTCGCACCTTGTCTTACAACCCCGACGCCACTACCGCACATTCAGTACTTATTGTCATTAATGCAGCGTGGATTCGTGTAAGCTTGCGCGCGGATCGATGTGCTTATGTGTGGATTAGCTGAATTTTATCTCCTTGCGTATTACTATTTCTATATCGTGTGAAGCGGAAAAAAGAAATGCTTTGCTCTTTGAAATTCCGTTCGCGAGACTGCTGGTAGTTTATTTCGATTTCCTTTTGAATGAAATGTTTCATCTCCTAAGCTTTCTAGACATGCCCGTTTAGCTTTCCGAGAGCGATTTCATGAAAGCGATTCTTGCTTCATTTTCGACAATTTTCCTAATGTCAATTTGGATTTTAATCTTCGCGATTGGAACTTCATTCGATCATTTGAGCTGCGTTGACCCGGAGCGACAATTCGCCTCGTTGCGTTTCGTCTTCAGCGCTTCCGGATCTGCAATATCGATTCCAACTCGTTCCGGCCCGTTTTTCCTCCCGGAAGGATCAATTTCCCTTTCAACTTCCGAGTTTCTGTCGCCCTTTGATGTTGAGGGGATCAACGCTGCCAATTGCCCTGAGTTGATTTACAATTCATGAGCCGGCTCGATGATCCCTTCCGGTCGCTATCAATTCCCACACCCACTTCTGCAGTTTTCTTCCTGCAAAATCTATCGATGAACGACACCGAGAGGCTCCACGCGATTAATCAAAACGTCAAAAAAAGAAATGGTCGTGGGAAGGGCAGGCACCGACCCCATCTGGCAAATCCATTCGCGCACAGCATGGCACCAGAAGGCATGCATATTCCATGCGTCGCAGTTATGCATGGGCAGAATGGCATTGTTCGGTGGGATCATCAACCTGATTTCTGCGCGATGGTCGCCTGCTTGGTATTAACGCTGAGAGAGTACTCGAGTTGTACTTTTTCGTACACCTTCGGTTTTTCCCGTTTTGGTGCATCATTGAGTCCTGCACGGATGGGACTGTGTTCCTCGCTTTGCTCGGACGAGTTTGAGATGCGGAAGAGTTCTTTTTTTTATTGCTATTAATATTTGCTATTCATTCCTTCATCTTCGTACTCATTTCAATGAAGAGAGGCTGTGGTGCTCATGTCATTTCTGTTCCGATTCGTTCTTTGACTTCTGCGGAACCAAGGAAAATCGTTAAATCTCACCTTGGATGTGGTGTTGCTGGATCCGTTCACAACTGGGTTATCGCATCCCAATATCTGGGAAGAGGAAAGGCATTTGTGAGGCATCGCATAATCTGAAAATTGCATTCGTTGGATGCAAATTTGGCGTTGTACAACTCAGGTTATTTTAAGCTTGAGGTGGTTGCACTTGATCAAAGATCTGCGATGGGAAATTTTAAAGTTAATTTTCGGAAGTGAACGCTTATGATTCAATTGCCCTTACGGAACTTCCAAATACAGGCGTATGTATAGGATTGTACAGTACTGAATTTAGCCATGCTTGGAAACAGTTCAGTCCGTATCATGTTTCGGCCATTCTTAATAAATATGGAATCATATATGGTTCATATTCAGACCCCCATATATGGTGCTAGGTTTGCAATGTATATGACACTAATATAAGCTATACGGAAAAAATTCTGTATTCAGAATATATTTGGAAACTGTTCAGTCCATGTAATATCCACGGATGCACACGCATGCACGTTGAGG